ATCATCACACTAGGTTTCCAAACTCTTGACATAAGCCAATCAAATCCCTGAGGCACTACACACTTATCAATATTCATCCAACTGGCCGTGCACAATATAGGCAAGCTAATCAGATCTCCCCAGTGAGAATATATTAAAACCAATTACACACATCAGTAATTACAGAACGTTTGTTTCAAAACAAAGACAAAAATAAATTTACTGTATACTGTATTGATATATATATAATTAGCTTAAATATTATCAGTGGATGACTAGGAAAGATGTGTTTTATTTGGCACATGGATTGCTGTGTGTTTTGATTAGACTGTTATAGGAGGTAATCATTAATAACATTAGGTATGTGTCATAAAGTGACATTTTAATTTACCTTTACTTATTACTTTATAGATATATTTGCATTCAAAGTATGTAATCAAATCAAACTTTATATACTGCTGCCCATTATTTTGCTCAGAATGTCTCAAACAGATTGGTTAGGCTATAAAAATCTCCAGAAAAATCCAAGTCAAATTCTGGTCAGAAACAAAAACATGCTTAAATATTATGAAATGCAAAACCAGAAACATTTTTCAAAAATTTTTAATCAGAATGAGATCAGTTGGTGAGAGCAAGATACCAACAAATTTAGACACTGGAAAAAGCAATGTGTATTTACATGGGCATAAAAGTCCTGTTTGGAGTACAAATCATGATAAGCATTTAATATGCAGTGAATCACTGGTCTGTTGCTGTTAATATAATTTAGTGTATTTATAGACATTCTCTTTAAAGTCTAGAGGTACTTATCTCTTCACACAAATCACTACTCAAACCTGTGTACAGTTTAATTCTCCATTTCTATAAAAGGTTGCTTAGTTACTGGAAAGGTTTCAGAAAAGAGCTACTAGGATGATTCCAAAGGTGGAAGGGTTATCTTACACTTACAGTTAATATCTCTTAACATATTTTATTGACCTTTATGAAATTATCTTAGCACTATATTCCGAAGATAATAATAGAAATCGAGTTTAATATCTGGAAAACACAAGCCGAGCTCCAGCAACTTATGGAATGATTTAACATTAGAAGTGGAGGCCGGGCAGTTTATAAGTCTAGAATGGGAATTGATGATTTCCGTAAGAAGAAAAGATGGATTTAAGTTGTTACTGTTAAAGGTGGATGTGCTCAAACAATTTCCATTTGTCCATATGTTATGTTAAAAGCAGCTCCTTCTGCTGTCTGTTCTTTGTATTAAACATCACTCAACATCATACAGTATAAATGTACGGTTAAGCCTAAGTGTATTATCAGGTGATATCCGAGCAGAATGACACCAAGCCCCTTTGTCATGTAAATTGGCATCACTCAACATAATATTGCAAAACACACTTGGTCTTGCAGCACCTGGAGCAAGGACCCCCATATTTTCATTAGGCCCTTCAAATTTTTAAAATAAGAGATCCCTTGAACCCTCAAACTCTGAAGGTTGGAGAAAGCTCTGGAAAGATTTAAGATTTTAACATTTGACGAACTATAACACCTTTTCTTTTTTTTAGTTTTTCACAACACTACTAATTTTCTCACACAAGTAAAAACTTAGCGAAATCATTCCCAAACTTTCATACCTCAACTTTACTTTTATTAAAACTAAAATTTAAAACTCATTTGCTAAGTTTTGGTCTAATCACTCACAAGAAACTGTAGTGTATGTATTCGAGGACCTTTTCGAGCATAATTAAATTAGCTTTACTAGAACTAGTAGTAGTAGGGCTGATAATTATACGACTTAACTGCCATTTTGAGTTATATTATAAAAAATTAAAAATACTAAACAAAAACTTATTTGCATAAATGTATCCTAAACTAATAACATTAAAGCTAAAATATTAATATATGTTGTTCTTCGCATACCTAATTCTTGAAAATAACTGATAATAATATCTAAGTTAATCAATTAGTTTCAAAATATCTGAAATAATACTAACTAAACTTGTTATAAATCGTAAACACACTCAAGTTTAGGTCACCTACCCCCTTCTACCTAGGCTTTAACTTCATATTCGTTACGAAAGAGACAAGCGCCATCTGCTAATAGGTACCCGTAAAAGTACAAAAGATAATTAATAAAAATAAAAGGCCACAAAATAATTTTATATACTAGCGAAACCCGGAAGACTATAAGCTTTATAGGAATAAATTATATGACTTCAATATAATTAAAAAACTCGCCTAAATTACTTAGTTTGGTTACGATTAGAAAATGAAATAAAATTGGATTTTTTTTTTTTTTAAATCTAGAAATAAGTTATACCTTTTCCTAT